CATCAATTTTAAGCATTCGTCTAATTTCTAACACCTGCTAAAACCGGTACACTTCTAACACCAATGCATCACCCATACACCTGTAACCCAAGTCTTATACGGATACCCATTTTTACACCGTTACTCTTCCTATATCTCTGACATTTCTTACGTTTGTTTAATCTAACACACTCCCTGCAACGCAAACTTATTCAACATCGCCAAAGATATTCTACGCATTCAAAACTTCTAACCTTGAAGCTTCTCTCCTTCAAAAAATGCGCGAGAAAACACATTAACTTTTTTTTTTAATTATGCTACCGATAGTTAATTAGATCGTTAATCAATTAATCCTTGTAACTATCAATACCGATGTTTAAGAGATTTTCAATGTTGAACGAAATCGAACACCAATTAATTAATAGAAGCCTTGGAAATTATATTACAAGAGAACGTATTTTCCAATCTAGTGTAGCAATGATGAGATTGAAAAGTTAGTGGTCGATGTGACAGGCAAGCAATCAACGGAGACGCATTCCAGGTCTCTCTAATCAGCAACCTCCGTATAATTAGTTCATATCATCAATTTTTTACGTGAAAAAAGTTTTGCCATGCAACAACAATCTTGAACATTTTTCCATCCGCACACGTGCTTGAGAGAACAAAAATAAACGAAAGATTCATCGGGCCCGGTATTCACCGTTCGAGTCGACATGTCCCGAGACGCTCGTTGAACAAAGCGGCGAATATGAAGTCCGAAAATGATGTAGAAATTGGTCATCTGGTAATCATGGATGAGACTAATCGCGAATGATGAGTGACTCCAAAGTTTTTCTGATCCTCAGTGTCACGTAATTCTTAAGGCTTTCAAAAACAATTTCTGAGTCCACTATAAGATTAAGAACCGAAGCTGAAATTTTCGCAACAGTTTTCAGTAACTGCCTAACAAAGCAACTGGTCCCTGATGGTTTTAATAAAGACAGTTCAGCCTGCGATTGCTTGTAGTCACCGTCTCCTCAGAATCACCCTGCGTAATTACAGATTAAAATTTAAAGAGCTACAAAGCAGCATTTGGTTTAGTCAACAGGGTCTCTGCATGACAGCGCTAACGAACCCGTGCGAGATTATTTAAGCAATTCATGCTCAACTTACGACGTAGTTATGAGCGAGCATATCTAGATGGCTGTAAAAAGTTACTACAGTCGTCGTAACAAGTCTTTCAATGCTACTTCTTCATGCATGAATAATAGTGTTGCCTCACTCGGAACATTACTCGATAATTTAACGTCAAAAACTTGATTTTTGCATTAAATTTTCAATGTCAGAGAGCGACTTACTGCATTTCCGCCGTCCAGTGGAGGAAAATAATTCTATATGCACGACGGAAGGAGCTTATACTGTTCACATTTTTTTCATTGACACCTGAGACCAGTTTTGGTTGAAAGAATATATTAGTGATTTACGATTTGATTGATTGTCAAAATGATTATAAAAAGGTAAATAACGAGAGGCAACTCTAAAGTAGTAATTATTTAAGAAAAGCACGGCGAAGTATTAGTACAGGAATAGATAACGTAGCTAGATCGACTCGATCGCGAGTGTAGCAAGCGAGTGTCGGAGTCGGCTTAACGTAAGTGGACGCTTATAGAGGCTGGACTGCGTCTGACTAATGGGATGCTTGAGGTACACACATAGACTCTCTACAATGACGTCACGGATGGTGACGCTGGTGACGCTACTGATGGTATGGGTGGTAATCGACGTATAACTTAACGTTACGTCTGACACGTCCACCCTTGAGAAGATGAATCGTCCTCGATTTAAAATTAGGAGCAAGTACAATTTACTTTAAAGGTAACGTGTTAGACGTATGGCTCCCGACACAGTAAAATACTGAATGTGAAGTAATCAATAATATTAATTATTAGTAGCAGTTTAAGAGCAAAGTTTAACGTTACTGAAGAAACTAAGTGTCTCAGAAAGAGAAGCAAAATCACAATCAGCTTATAGGTGTATAACAAGCACAAAACAAAAACTCCAGAATTAAAAACTCAAAACCTAAAGAGTAACTTAATTCTATCATATGAATCCTTGGAAATTTGGCATTTAGTTGCCAGATCTTCGTACTTCTTGCTCCTGATAGGTTACTTGAGGACGGTGAGTTGCTCGGAAGAAAAAGCAGCTTTTCCAATATTAATATTATTAATTAGCTTTTCTAATATTACCAAAGGAAAGTAGTACATAAATTCTTAAATATAATTGCTTAACTGTTTAGCTGAAGTGGAGTATTTAGTGAATTAAGTGAAATATACCTTAATTGATTGGGCTTGGGCATTTTAATTGACCAATTATATAATTAATTATTGGTCAATAAAATCAGAAGGATGGTTTACAATGATGTGCCCAGGTACTTAAAGTCCAACTATACAGTAAAAAGTCCAATTATACAGTACAGTAAAGTCCAACTATACAGTAGTAATATATACAATGTTTACAAAACAAATCACATTTATCAGTTAATAACTCTGCTTATACAAATTTTTAATATAAAATTTTGATAAGTTACATAACCATATTTAACAAAGATCAATTCAAAATCAGGAATAATATTATAGTTATTTATGTGTGCTAAAAATGAAAGATTAACACACAGAATCAAATTTATGCTTACATTTATAGTGTTATCGATTAAATCTCGATAACAATATCGACGAGGATTCGACGTTCGAGTCTGACTCAAAGGATTTACAGTTGATAATATGGTTAAACTTGCTCTTCTCTTTAGAACATTTTTATTTAAAACAATAAAGATCTCTGATATGTGCATCGAAGCATGCCATTATTGAGAGTTAACTTTAGCTTCGAAATGTCTATGCAGCATTTCCAATGAAAATTCATTGTAAACCTCAAATATCGTAGCTTCATAACTCGTGCTGACGAGCAGACGTTTCTGATAATAACAACATTTAGTATTATTGATTTAGTATTATCTCCATTGCTATTGCCAGCACTCGGATTGAATCTGACCGTATCTTGCCCAAATCATAAGCAATTTTCATACCTTCTTTTCCAACTTGAGATTTACAGCAATTGCAAGCCTGTAAATGTCTGCATGCACGCAAGCGGGCTCCCCGGCAACGAGGTAGAAAGTTTACAGTCACTAACTTTTTATAATAGTCGAATTAGAGCTCGCTGCTTCTAATACTCTACGTACACGCATCGTTTATTTTGAAGAAATAAAGGCTCAAAATTTGCTCTCAACAATGGATAATATTATTTTTAATGTGTTTTCAAATGCAAAAGAAATCTAATGCGCAATTTGTTGGTTCTTAAGTAAAAATTCATTAAACATTTTTAGTATCTTGAAAAGCAGTTCGTCGAGGTTTTTTACTGTTGGCGTGTATTCAACCCACTTGCAGTATATCAAACCACCGAGTATTAATTATTTTCCATGAATTGTGCCTCATGTGGCCTGTAAAAAATATAACACATCCTGTAGAAGCTAATACACTAAAAATCAGGCAAATTATTTTGCAAGCTCAATCTATAAAAAATATAACTCAGTACTCACTGCACTGAGTGACAGAGAGCGCATTTTTTCGTAGACGAAAACGTGAAGTCACGGACGGACAGACGGACATGGCGAGCACAATTGTGCATTTTTTCCATAAATGAGAAAATGCGCTATAAAGGTTTCATTACATAAAAGCTGCATTGCGGCAGATGTTCGTCTGAGATGTCGTGCTTCCAGTATATCAAGTGCCGCAAAAATTCACTCCACATATGACGGAGAGTCCCTAACTTGTATGAAGTCATCTATAACTAACGCAAATCGTGTCGACGATTGATTGAACTACTAGTCAAACTAATCTTCCATAATAATCTCATTGAAAAGACCATTGCACCCAAATATTATCTGGAGCTGACTAGAGAAGTTTGTTAGCCATTATAAAGTATACTTTTATCAATGAGTGGGCGCGTCACTATCTTCAATTTTTGTATAAGAGCAAATCATTTCATTGTATTAATATCAAGCGAAAAATATCAAATGTGTCGTATTGAATGCATTCGTGTTTTAAGGAGAATCAATGATTTATTAAAATTAGGACAATATGTTTAATTTATACTTTGATGCGTGATTCCTCCACTGAGGTACGTGGTTCAATTAGGCGTACTTATTTTCATGTTCTTCATACCAGATCATTTCTGTAGTGATATAAGCGTTGGTGAGTAATGTTACGCGTGTTAGTTCTTACTATTTATTTGGTATGCGTTCCGGGCCATATTTTATTTTTCTGGTTCGTGATTGCTATCACTAGTTCTAAATTTATGTTTATGTGTCTGCAGAAAGTTTTCGATAGTCAAAACTTATGCATACATAGGGAATACATAGTTTATATTATGTTTAGTTTCATATGTGGACATACTTTTCTTGTTTTTTATCACTTCTTTTCGTCGATTAATTCGATATTTAGATGGATGGCATTACGATCAGTGGCTTAGTTTCCTGGATTGCTGAAAGCTTTGATTTTATATATATTGATTAAAATGGCCCTGACAGTGTGACACCACAAATACATATCGGAAGCATTCAACTCTTTCCCTTTTTCTTTTTGCTAAAAAATAATAATTTTCGCTACCGAATACGCCGCGGTCGCCTTCCTCGATACGCGCACCTCGTACGTAGGCCGTAAGCGCAACACTTGCTTCAACTTTACGACCATCACAGGCGCTGGCCGATCGGCTTTGCGGATCGATTTGTGACTCCAGTTCTCCGTAAAAATAAAGCTCGTAAAAAAGCGACGCGGGTGGTAGTTGAGCCATCAGTGTCAGCCGCTACAGCTCATAAAATAATTTCGGCTTATTCGAAAAATTCGTCAGAGATCATATTCTCAAAGTAACCGGAACACTCCTGCACGCTGATTCCCGGGAAGAATTAAATATATTATTCTTTTCATTTGTATCATTGATATAATTTTTTATTAAGTAGGACTAATCGTAGCTTGTTTCCCACTGACCAGGTTTGCGTCGAAGTCGCTCGGACCTTCGCTACGTGGACGTGATCAGAGAGCGCCCCATCAGAGTGACGGCTAAGGTGCTGGTGCCTGTGAGGGAACATCCAAAGGTGAGACCCTCACGTGGCTGAGTGATAGATCAACTGTGCAACTATCATTTGTGTGGAATATGTGAAACAAAATGTTAAGACATTAGATATATATTTTTACACCTTCGCGTTGCTGAATGATAGATAAAGCCGAAGAACACTGTTCCGAAGAAAAACGGTCCCACTGGCATTCTAGTGGCCGGTCGCCCCTTGAAAATAAACTGTTTCGCCGTTTTTATCAGGTGTTTTACGGATTTATAGTGTTAAATTAGAATAAAAACGGCGACACGGTGTTTCTTTCCAAGTGCCGACCGGCCACTGAAACGCCGATAATACCGTTAACGGTAATTTTTCTGACAGTGAACTTTCATTATGTTAATTATATTACGCAAAATGTCAGAGCAGCAGATGTATTGTCTTAAAACCTAACATATCCTTATGATTAATTCAACCATGGAAAACTCAGTTATGTTGGCTCTACTTGATGCGCTATATCTTTTATTTGAGTGGCTCGCTGACGACTTGAATTTTGTGACATTACATGCATTGCTTGATTCGTTCATATGGAACAATGATAAATCCTACCTGAAATTAACGTATCTGTGTATTTTTGAGAGATAGAGAGAAGCAAATATAAAGAATAGTTAAATAATCAACTGTCTGCAACATCGTAAAATGTTAGTGAGAAATGAAGTTTCTAGAAATTTGAACGAGATTAAATTAAAATAATGACCGTGATGGAATCAGCGTGTGCGCTGTATAACTCAATTAAAAGTAACTCACCAGGTTCCAGAGATCTACTTCATACTTAAAATCTAATTAGACTCCCAAAAATAACATAAAAGGTAATCACTGATGAACTAAAGTTTAATGTTTGAGACTTAAAATTTTTGCGACGACTAAGATCTGCGGCCGTCCACTCAGCGTCCATTAGAAGACTAATTAAAGCTGCTCAAAAATCCTCAGAACGAACCAGAAAAAGTTCCCAGAAGTCACGTCCGTTTCGAGAGATCGAGTCTATCTTTAAAATCATGTCACTGCAGCACGAGTCTTGCCAAGAATATTTATGAAGAGTTTTCTCAGTAAAACTAGAGTTAATTGCTAATCACGACCAACTCGAGTCAATAATTCTAAGAAGAGAACTTCAGTCTCCCCGGACTTTAGCCAATCTTCTGAAAGATGAAAGACATCAAAGGCCACGTACGCAATAATTCTTCCAACATTATCAAACAATTCCATCAACATTGTTACTATCGAAAGATAGTTTAACACAAGTTTTTTTTCTCACAAATGTGATATTAATTGAAGTTTTGATGAAAATAAAAGTATTATTTGAACATTTGTGTATAAAATGCAATTTTAGTGAATAAGTAAGATATATTGATCTGTGATATGGCTGTGAAGAATCGTTACTTCAATTAAATTGTATTCGTTTGGAATAATGTATAAATGCCATCATCAAAATGAATCGAAAAAACTAAGAAATTGTTTATAAATCTGCTTTACTTCAATGTGATCGACATGAAATAAAGATGAATCATACATCAAGAGCAAAATTAATTGGTAGAAATTCGCTTGATTTGAAAATACGAAAAAAAATCACGCATTTTGCCTTGCAAATCTCAAATAGTTTACAAAATCTAAAAAATATCCTAAAAAAGAAATAATCTGTAACAGAAATATTATGCCAGTCTGGAAGAGAACATTCGATACAACCCGCTCATTCATCATCGCTCATTCACTGTTGAATATGATCTCAATCTGTAGCACAGCACTTCATAAAACAAGCTCATTCATCATCGCTCATTCATTGTTGAATATGATCTCAATCTGTAGCACAGCACTTCATAAAACAAGCTCATTCATCATCGCTCATTCATTGTTGAATATCATCTCAATCTGTAGCACAGCACTTCATAAAACAAGCTCATTCATCATCGCTCATTCATTGTTGAATATCATCTCAGTCTGTAGCACAGCACTTCATAAAACAAGCTCATTCATCATCGCTCATTCATTGTTGAATATCATCTCAGTCTGTAGCACAGCACTTCATAAAACAAGCGCATCCATCATAAAGTATAGAGGCCGCGTAGGGATTCCTGTGGTAATTGTTTATTTATAGATAAATCGAGCTGGCAGAACAGTTTTATTCTGTAGAATTCCAAAATCGTCAGATTTTCATCCAAGAAATCAATGAAGCTTTGAATATTTACACACAAGTTCGAATATTCGACAAAGCTTCTCGATGTTTTCAGTTCAACTTCGTGGGTAAACTTCTTGGTCCCAAAGGCAACTCCATGAAGAGGCTACAGGAAGAAACTCTGACAAAAATGGCCGTCCTAGGCAGAGGTTCAATGAGGGACAAACAAAAGGTAAGCAAACAGATTTTTCACTAGATTTTATTTCCAATGGATTTTCACTTTTTAAAATGTTATACGCTGAGAAGTACATGAAATGCTGTCATGACCAGATGCTAAATTTTCGATGCGTAATTGGGGGATAAAAAGTCTCGCAACATTGCGAAAACGTGGCAAAATTCGAATATATTTTGAGTTGGCTGCCCATAGTTTATAAATAGTAAACATGGAGGGGGATGTGTGCCTAGAGTTTCTCAATTGAGGCATTTAATAAAAAATAAAAAAATTTTCTGATACCGCGTGCCGGTATACCGGAAATTGTACATGGTAAACATGTCTTATATTCATCTGTTAAAATTCTAACTAATACAGCATGCCATCATTGATTTATTTGGTTGTGGTCTTTGATTTTCATACTGGATTATATTTTTTTGCGTCAAACTTACCAATTTTATTGTAGATAAATTTGCATCATTTTATGTTCCAGCGATAGGCACAAACGACCACTAAATAAGTACAGTATACAAGTTTAATGAGAGCTTGGCTAATTAGTTATCTGAAGGAATCAGTATGTTGCCAGCCAGTTCATGATGTTTAATGTAGAAAAAAAGTCAATAGATTGCAGGATCTTGATCAAATATGCTTTCAATGAGAATCAAAATACGTCTCCTCTACCAAATATCAACAGAATTTAAAATCCCTGGATTCCCATTCAAAATTCACGTTGTTCTTGATTTTTAGGTAAATTTTCAGTGTGTGTTAAAACTGATTCAAGTGATCAGAAATATTTTTCGCGGGAATCGAGATGCCTTGCATGTAACAGCTCTGGGCGGCGCTGTCGGAATGTTCAGCGCCCGCACAAAAACTGATTGACCAACAAATGAAATCATTTCCAAGCTCGCATTTCGAGCGACGTTTGATAAGGAACCAGTTACTCGGCGCGTGAGGGGAAACGGTGGATCGTGAAATCAGTAAATGGTTCAATTTTGTTCCGTGATTTGAGACGGAATATCATTGGTTGATTTTACAATACCTGTTAACTGAAAGAGTTATTTCAGTCATACGAACCAAAAAATTTAGATTTATCAAGTTAATGCAGTGTAATAATTACCACTACTACTAAACTGCCAACAAATTATCATCGGTGAGTCGCCTGTTAGTATTTTTTTCATTTATTGCCAACTAACTTTGCCAAACGTGTAAGTTTTTGTAATCAACAAGAGCCTGTTAAATTACCTGGACATGCAATCAAGAGAAGCAAATAATGAATTCTTCTAGGATTAAAGTGGCTATGCATCGTAAAACTATTCAGATAAAAATCTCTCAAGGCTATATTCAACAGTTGCCAGATGACTGAATGGTAATCAGCATCGATGTCCTTTCAATTTGCACGATCAAAATTATTCACAGTAGTGAGATTTTGAAAAATTTTAAACTTTTTAAAACTCAAATCACTTCGATAACTGAACTCTTGAACAGTTAAGTTCAGTCCCGGTAATGAAAAATTTTGTATCAATATACTTTTGCAGAAGAAGAGTTCATTGCCCATGCCCTTTATAATGGATACTAGGAGTTTAAATGGATACAGTTTTCAATATAATAAATAAATTTTATAGATAAATATATGTAATTTTAATACAGGAGACAATTTTAAATCATGAAGAGGAGGAAAAGCTGCGAGGGGACCTTACAGTGACCTAATTAACAATTTCAGGAACAGATATTTACTCCTGCTTCTGATATGTTTTTTCCCATGATCCCATGATCTTCACTGCTTCTTCCCATTTTTAGCGCATTTTCTCATTTGTGGAAAAAATGCACTATTGTGCTCGCCATGTCCGTCCGTCCGTCTGTCTGTCTGTCTGTCCGTCTGTTCGTCCGTCCGTGACCTCAAGTTTTCGTCGTCGAGAAAATGCGCTCTCTGTCACTCACTGCAATGAGTACTGAGTTATATTTTCTTCTCATGATCCACAGGAGGAGGAACTTAGAGCCTCCGGAGACCCGAAGTACCTGCACTTACTGGAAGACCTACACGTTGAGATCACGGCATTCGCGCCCCCTGCGGAAGCCCACGCTCGGATTGCTTATTCCTTAGCAGAGATTCGACGTTACCTCGTACCCGATAACAATGACGACATCCGCAAGCAGCAGATACGCGAAATGGAGTTTATTGGCGACCGCAAAGATGGCTTGAAAGTCGTTGATGGCGGCGGCGAAACGCTAAATGGCCACGGTGGTCCCGGTCTCGGCAGGATGGACGGTGAAGACAGAAGTGGAAGGCCAGCTAGTCCCACAGGTGATTGAGAGATACTGCAACTTCATTTAGGTGGGCCTAGTGATCAGTGATGGGCATGGTATAAATTAAAGTTTTAAAATGTTTTGACCATGCAACAAGTTATTGTGACTTTTGTCGTTGTCAAACGTTCAAAAAAGATAACGAACGAATTGATTTGACGTAGCTTGATGGACCAATGATCCTTCAAGTCGGTGAGGAGCTTTGCTATTCCGACAATATCACATTTTTATTAAGCAATGAAAGCTTGTGAAAATCAGCTGAATGATTTATGACATTTGGTGGTCTTTTGCGCCATGCTATCAACAAACTGTCTCGAGCTTCATTTGCAAATTCTATCGTTTAATTATCAAAACTGGTTGAAACGGCCTGTAAGTAACCTTAACACAATAATTAATATTTTTATTATAAAATTTCCGTCAAACTCGCCGCGTTGCTGTCTTTGATGTCAAGTTAAATATTTGAAAAGCAAAATTTACATTTACCCGAAAGCTGATGCGCACAAAAGGATTTCAAGTCGTAAGGGTCGAAACTTTTCTATTCTCAGGAACAGCCTCCGGCAGATATAAACATTTTCAAATTATGCCTTATTTGCAAATTCAAATCCTGGTATAGAAGTTTTTTCTTTTGAGAATAAAAAAGAATGAAAGCGGCATCACTCCCACGCTGCTTAATATTACACACTTAACCTTTGCCGCTTCCCTGACACAAGTGAGCGTTTGCAAAAATACAACCGAATTTAGCTGGATTTAGAATTTAAACTCTAAATGAAAATCAACATTGCATATTTACGCGTAATTTTTGACCCCAGAAACCAAATCGTCCTGAATAAAAGAAAAAAAATAAACCATGCACTTTTTTTCTCGAGCTACTTCTGGCCCAGGTCACTTTTTCCTTTCGTTGGCACTTTCATAATTTTTCTCGCCCAGTTTCCTTCATGGCAGACATTTGAATGCGCCGTCCTTCCTGTTGAGTCGCCTTCTCCCATCCTTCCTTTTGCATCTCTATACCCTCAATTTTAAAAACTGTCTTCCATAACTGAATTGATCATAGCTTCAAGCCCCGCAGGGGAAACTCGAGATATAAAAATATATAAATAAATGGAATAGAATAATCGTTTTCATTGGCTTTCAATACAAAAATTCTGAAAGTGCAAGTTCTTTCTTAAATTACGGTTTTATAATTTCAATTTCACATGAACAGAGGTATTTGATATTTCCATCGAACTCGATTAACTTCTTGTGATAAAATTTTGCAATATAATGTATCAAAAAATAATACCAATTAAATCTATTCGCAGATTCAGTTCTTAAACCTGATTTCCATACAGAAACATACAAAATAACATGGTTAGCTTTCATACCGATGAATAGATATTCTCTATGCTCCTTGGTTGGTTTGATGCATAGGTGGGATTCTCCTTGGTTGGTTTCTAAAAATATCTCCCCTCAACATAAATCAGTTAAATAGCAATGGATAAAAAATTTTAACTGAGCTCCGGGCAATGCAGTTAATCTTACAGTGAAATTGCAGAACTGACACTCTTGACAGAGCCACGCATTGGAATTCTGCAACACATATTTTTGTTTCAAAAATAATCAACTCTCATGATTGATCGTCTGAAATGTTCGTACACCAACTGAATAAAACCGATGAATACCGCCAACAAGCGTCAGCGGATAAGCGAAACAGAAGTCATGTCGCCTTCCGCACATTGTTTAACTTTATAACCTCGATTTTACACAAATTATGCGTCGTTTTTCAAGTATAATTATGTCGACTACCGATTTGGTCGACCTTCCAGGTTCCACTGATTTCCTTTAAATTTTAGCGATATTTTATAGAAGCAAATATGTGTAAAGATATACATTTAAATCGTAAAAATAGTTTTTTATTTAAATATTTAATTGGCACATGTGCTTTTATTTCTCTTCATATAATCATAATTAAAAGTAATCACCAATTTATCATATCATCATTAAAATTGGAAATTCCCAACTGAATTTGTGATTTAAGGGAAAGACAAACAAATTCCTCGTCTTAGAGAAAAGCCGTCGAGACCAGGTATCAGTGATACACGTCAGCTCATCCTCTATTTTGCTGCAGTGAGATTGCGTTATAGTGGCACTGAGATTACACTGAGGTGGCACTGAGATTACACTGTAGTGGCACTGAGATTATACTGAAGTGGCACTGAGCTTACACTGAAGTGGCACTGAGATTACACTGGCGGGTGTAGCAGCGATAAAGGAGACGAGCTCACCATACGTTCTCGGCGCTAACGTGTTCGTGACAGCGAATCTCTCCGCTTGACGATAAAAACTCCTTTGCTAGCAAACACGTCGAGGAGCTCATGGAATTTGTCCTAACCAAGAACTTATAAAACAGTCAGAAAAGTTCTTTAAAACCTGCGTCTTTCACGCTAAAGTTCATGTTCTAAAATTCGTTGAATATTCTTTGACTGACGCTTAGGACGAAAATAAAAAATGAGCGAGCAAGAGTATGCTGCTAGTTCTCAATGTGGTTTGGAAATACTTGCGTAATTCAGCTTTTAATGCAATGCCCAAATCGATCGCGAAAAATGTACAACTTCCTTGACTATGAAGTGAGTTGGCAGCTTAAAATTTCCAATTTTCATCACTGTTCCACATCACTATTCGAACCGTACCATGAAAGCACAATTTATTTTTCCTTACGGCTTATTGTAATTTGAATGAAATAATAAACGCAGCTTATAGTTAGTCACAAATTCAAACGACTAGATTAAATAATAAAGAATAATTATACTTACCTAAATAAAATTAAAACTATTTTATGAAAAGTATGTAAGAAGCTCAAATTCATATACTCAAACAATTATTCCTCTCTCACAAGATCTACGCAGAAGCGACCCAGGTTCACCGTGTTCAGCGTCCCGCTTAGCATCACCGATGACGGGTAACATTCTGTCATCACTTCACCACCACCCTCTGCCACCACCACTTCCACTCACTCACCCACATCATCGTTCCCATTCCTCCCATTCTCCTATAGGACCCGTTCACTCCCCACTTGGTCAGTCCCCTTTAAATCACCATCCCCACGACCTACCCCCACCTCGGTTGCTGCCGTGGGGCTACGGCAGTTCACGGAGACGGGTGCTTACGATCCTCGACAAGGCGAGAACTGCTCTCGACCACACCTATGAACAGGAGTCTTATTCAGAGTACGTAACTTTAACCATTTATAATATATGCCATTTTATTTACCTTTAACTTAATTATTGTTTAATTTAATACAGTTGACCATTCAATTTTTATTATAATACAAACATTTATAAAATTTGAGTTTTACATTATACTGAAAAGGAACTACAAACTTTGTACGTTATGGCAAGTACTGACCAATTATAATCGATACAATGTCACGAGTTTAAATTATTTTAACGACAAATGACCGAAACAAAGATTTTAAATTGGATTTTAATTGCTTCAACTTGTAAATTGTAATAGGAAATTCTTTCGCAATGCTGTGAGTGAAATTTTCAATAATATCAAAATAAACTAATTTTATTAGTTTCTTTTTAAATTAAAATGCAGTATTTTGTATAAGCCATATTTGATGAAAAATATTGCAGAAGAATACGCGTATTTTGAACTTATTTTTACTGATTTTTTCACCGTAGCTATTATTACGAGGAATATGACGATTACGGAGGCATGGAAGACTACCGGGACATCTACAGCCCCGACTGCTACGGTGCGTGCCTTAAATAATGACTTCAGTATTTTACAAACTACTAAACTATCTGATTTTAATTCTAAATGCATTAAATTTTAAATTCGAATTCCTGCTGACGAGTCAGATACCTTAAATAGTTCAATTTCTCAATATCGTGTAAATAAATAGAATATGTAATATACATCGTATACAATGAAAAATTAACCGCGTAAATAATGTGCTAAACTACGATGCTCGGGAAAGCGTACATGCCCAAAATATTCTGAACGAGAAACAAGTTATTAAAAAGATATTAATCCTAATTAACGAAAAGCAGGCTATTAAAAAGATATTAAGCATTATTAAAATATATTATGGCTGGGCATGCAGATAGCGGAGGCGGGTGGCCACGATACAAGCCTCTGCTGACGCCTGGAAGGGACCGCCCTGGGCGCTGTCGCTCCTCTCCTTACTCGAGGCCTAAGTAGTTATTATAGGCGAGTATCTCCTACAAATTATAAAAGTAATTTGAGTACATTTTCAAAAAGTGTCATATTTTAAATTTAAAGTTGGTTGTTTACCACCGCATGACATTAATTCAAAGCCAATCAAGAGGGATCTCAACATAATTGCCATAGCTGCGAATATATACGAACTTTCTGCTTCGATTTACCCTCTGAATTAACAATGCAAATCTTGTCTGATGTTTCATCACTATATTCAATCGAATCGAAAACCTATATCGAGATCTGACTGTTTAGTAATTGACATTTCAAGTTTGACTGCACATGTGTTTTGTTAACCAAATAACGACGATATCTTCTCCCGCAGATGCTGCATGAGAAACCTACTTGCTAATTTGGATTGTGAGTCTTAAAGAGTTGCTAAATAAACTCTCTGGTTTGCTTATTGTATTATAATCTTTGGTTGTGAGTGCTGAAGCATTGCTTAGCAAACTCTCTGGTCTGCTTACCGTATTTCAAACTTAGGTTGTGAAAGCTGAAGCGTTGCTTGGCAAACTCTCGATCTGGTCTGCTTACCGTATTATAAAGTTAGGTTGTGAGTGCTGAAGCATTGCTTGGCGAACTCTCTGGTCTGCTTACCGCGTTACAAAGTTAGGTTGTTAGAACTGAACCATTGCTTGGCAAACTCTGTGGTCTGTTTGCCGTATTACAAACTTTGGTTGTGAGTGCTACTCTCTGGTCTGCTTACCGTATTAAAAACTTAGGTTGTGAGTGCTGAACCATTGCTTGGCAAACTCTCTGGTCTGCTCACCGCGTTACAAACTTAGGTTGTGAGTGCTGAAGCGTTGCTTGGCAAACTCTATAGTCTGCTTACCGTATTGAAAACTTTGGTTGCGAGTGCTAAGGTATTGCTTGGCAAGGCCTCTGGTCTGCTTACCGTATGACAAACTTAGGTTGCGAGTGCTAAGGTATTGCTAGCAAACTCCGTGTTGTGCTTACCGTATTTGTACAGCGTCCTTGAACAATAAATAATTTATAACATTCACACCGGATTGATGGAGAGACCAATAAACTTTCACATGATGATTTGAATCAATTATTCTTCAGATCTTATATTAATGTTAGATCTTTTCGGTGATGTGTTACAGTTTTATCGATGTAAAATGGCTTGCTGATTCTCAACCAGTTTTTATTCATGTGCGATTTAGTTTCGCCGAATTTTGGTTTTCTGTATCACTTATCAAATCATTTAAAGAATTCATCAATTGCTGAGAACGACTAAATAATAATAAATGGTAAAATTTAGAATGAATGATAATATAAGGCTTCTATTTCTGAAACATGCTAATATATGAAAAAAATTAACATAAAATACTCTACAATTTTTCATTCACCTTTCCAATTAGTTTGAAATACTGCATCAAACCAAATCAACTAATAACTATTCATAGTTATTTATTTCTATTTTTTTTTTTTGAAGGATAAAATAATTCTGGTACTGAATCAATATCTTTTATTGTCCTAATTATTTCATCGTTCTCAACCACGTTTGAAATCTTGAAGGTTTTCATGAAATACCTGGAATGCGCTTCTTGCAATTTTTTCAATTTGATAGAAATTATATCCCAAAAATAGAAAGTTTAACGTCTGAGTCTTTCAAGGATATAAAAAAGTTACGGAGCTAATTAATTTCTGTTAAACGACTCATAATTGTAAATGCAGATACAAGGCCAAGTGGAATGTCTTTCAAAGACCATCGAAAATTCAAGAGTACATTTTTCTTTCGATTGCTCGTTTCCCCTCCAGTGATTTATCTGAAGTGTATTGCGTTTTACCTAGAAACATTAATATGTCATTCTCCCATCTGAAAAGTCTTTATGTTTACGAATTGCACTAAACATCCTTGCAAATTGATAATAGTATTATTCTATCCTGTTATTTTAGGCAGTAACATTTAACCTCTTCTTTGCTAGAGTTATCCTTTTCGAATAATTATATATGAATTATTACTCGTATGTGATTCATATTATTTCAATAACTCGCGACTAGAACTCAAGTGCTAACTTACACTAAAAATAATAACTAGCATGGACCACCGCCAATTTTTTCCTGGGATAAATATATTATTCACTCCGTTATATGCAGATATTATTTGAATAATATAAAGCATGTTTGACCCACGAATGTTTTAAGATTTAAGCAAAAAAATGCTCATTCGTGCTGCACCAGTTCTTCGCCCCGTCCAGACTTGATTGAAACTTTTACTGGTAGTCTTTAAATATCAAGGTTTTATGCTTACAAGTTTATAGCCGCTGTTTTGTGTGAAGCTTCTTCATGTTTGTTGGATACATCGTAAATTGTGCAAATGAAATATTAAGAAATATGCAATTGTTTTAAAAATGTAAAGACTGAAAAATCAATGAATGTTTTGCACTCAAACAATTAAGTCACCCCAGAGAGCAGCATCTCTTGCATCAATTATATGATGATCAATAATCATTATACTTGAATTTATCGTGAAATAAAAATTTAGAACGAAACTGAAGTTATTTCTATCTCGCAGACAGGGCGTTATCAAGTACATTATCAAGTGCAAATATTTAAAACCTTTGTTTTGGGTCAGATAAATAAAATTTATTGTTGATAATCTTTTAATCAGTGTCAGAAGCAACCCCATTTCTATGGAAGTTGCAAACATTAGTCTTGATTTTAATTATTTTAATAATCCGGATGGAGAAGAGAATGAGCATATCATTTTGTATACCGATTTTGAGTAGCCTTGCAGCCATGATGTTCATCATCTAGCCCTAAATGATTGAGATTTTCTTATTTTCTGAATTGTTAAAATATACTCGATGGTACGCCAGCAGTTTCAATGTCGTACTCAAATACTTTGCCTAAGATTCTTGATTGTGGTAATTCATCTTTATTATTTTGTTATTAATATTATTATTTTTGTAAGTATAAATTTGATCAGATACAAGGCCAGTTCAATGCGTTCTGCCATTACAGCGCCAGTATTATCTAAAGCTCCGCGATATTTGACACAATTGAAAATAATCGTTCAAAGTTCGAAAATCTAAATAAAAGAAAGTCTATTGGTAATAGTATTACGTAGTAGCAAATATGGATGGACAGTAGGTGCTAATACCTATTTTGGTTGATATCGTCCTATTTTAAGCTTTACTAGCCAGGGTTGTGCTAGTGTGCGCTAGTTCATCGTCTGCATAGAAGGTCTGTGTGTTATTATGTGTCGTAGTTAAGTCGAAATTAAATTAAAATATTTGTACATTTCAAATTTCATATTTTAGCCTTTCAAATGATTCATTGCTGTTTCAATAGACCACTGTGTACTGTACAGGGTTTCTTGCAACTATTTTACATTTTGCTTGTACATAAAACCTATCTCGGCTCTAAAAATATAGCCGCACATATGATTAAATTTAATGCAGCTGTTAAATTTATTGCAACTCACTAATAAGGCACAACAATACATTTTCTTCTTTACTGAGGCGCATGAATCGCTAAAAACTCCCGATAACCAGTATATATGAGCGTATATATGAGCGTATATATGAGCGTATATATGAGCGTATATATGAGCGTATATATGAGCGTATATATGCAGTAATAACCTAAAATACCATATATGTTCATATCTGCAGAAAATTTGCATTGCCTTAAAAAACAATGCAAATATCCCTGCACAGATTTGTTACTGATGACATTACGTGACATATAAAAACCGATATTTGTGATAAACTAATGCTGTTATGAACGATTCCTCACTTCATAAATAAATATTCACCATAAAGTATTGTTCGCTGTTATTTGGAATTCATTAAAATAATTCAATAAAAATTAGAATACATTTAGGGAGTTATGTATCACATTCACTTTTAGTATATATGAGTATTGTCATATTAAAACTAACCAGGCGAGTATCTGTTATTTAACAATTATTTTATGGGCTAAAATGAGGCTGAGAAAGTTATGTATCATTCACCTAAAGGAAACAAACCATTTATTTTATTTATTAGACTTTCCGGCGAAGTAAACTAAGTTCCATTGTTGACATCACATCAATATTGTAAATCGAAGTGATACAAAGCGGGACTTCAAAAGTTTAAAAGCAGCAATAACTTGTATTAGCAGAGTATATGAATATTATTGTTGTATTATTTCACATATTTAATAATTGCTATGTTACTTTCTTTGAAGTTCACTCATAGGTAAAATCTTGAATTGTTCATTAGCCGCTAACTGCTATATTAGGCCATAACAGTCCTAAATCTACAAATAATCTCATTTTAATTCAAGTCCAGAACTGTTGTTCGATATCATTCTATTGCACAGGAATAAGTCTCATCAGATTTTTTTTAAACGAACCGTAACAAAAAGAGCTTCAAGATCACTAAAAGTGCTAGGTAACAATTATTGAGGCATCTTAATGGTTATTTATAAAAGCCTCATAAAGTTTGCATTATTGAAAGATGCGATGCATATCTGACCTTCTCGTTCGTTTACTTTTGAGCGAAAAAAATGAAAGTGAGCACATATAGTGAGCACATATATAGCATAGCATATTTCTTCATTCAAATTACGACTTCAAATCTCACCTATCATAGTGTACAAAATTTGGTTCTGCACCGAGGATTCAAGTCAACTGGCGATATCCACTTATTAAATTGACGAACCTAAATCAAGTTCTCAATACATAATTAGTCATTAAAATTCAGCATGAACTTAAACAGTCAGAATAAAATAATTTATCGTCAAGTTCATTATTATTGTTTCTGTCGCAGACGCTCCTTGATCCACTCCGAGCAGCCATTGACTGCATGCACAAATCTCATCGCTTAGCGGCTTTAATATGACTTGCGTTCGAGAGAAAAGCTTGCACTCTCTATTTCATGTAAGTTTATGTGAAGCAATTTGTTAGTTTCTGTCGCAGTTTTCGCATAAGGCTAATGATTGTACAGAAGCTGTAGCTTTAACGACGGTGATGTTATTGAAATAGACTCGAATTACTTTTGCATCTCTATTATTGCCCTCTGAAAATACCGGGATATTGCTGAACCGTAACTGATTAATCGGAAATTTTGATGCCATTTATGAAGTTTAATTTGATTTGAATTAAATGCTTCTAAGTTATTAATTAAAGTTTGATTGACAACATAAGAAAGGTTTATGTATTGCAAACTCCACGAGTTAGACGCATGAATGGTCGGTAAACTGAGATGTAAAAAATACTTCAATAAATCAATAGAGCGAATTTGAATACAATTTATCGTTTTTGAAGAATTTTGAAGCAAAGAAGCGGCCAAGCAATTCAACATAATTTTATTGAACGTGCCATGAGAATTACTTATCGTTTATAATTATAACTGCACAAAAACCAACTCGCAAAGTATTCCACCCTAAATTTCTGACATATTTATTTTTTGGGGGGCTAATATTTAAATATTTTCGTGCAATGTCTGCATTGGGAATTGCTCGATCAGCAAAAACTCTGCAATAAAAAAAACTCTTAAACATTCTTGTTGGAAAATATCCCTAGAGAGATAAAATAAATATGCGTCAACACAAAACGATTCTAATTTAAAGCCTAATTTGCATTACTTTTCAATATATAGTAAGGTATGAGATCCTAGAAAATACATATTAGATCATAAATTTCGCATCAACATTGTGACAATTAAATCTTGAGTGCCTTGGGGAGTTAAATTATTCTTGGAAACACTATTGTACCTCGTCAAATGAATTCAAAATTCATTAAGTACTGTTCAAGAATATATCTTTTCCAAACAGAGTAAAGTAATATAAGAAGCTAAAACAGCTTCGAAATGTTGAACGCAGCACCGTGGATTTTTCCCTGAGATTTATTGCTTCCACGAATACATATTTTTACGGAAGTTCTAACGAAATCGGTATGGTGAAAAAATAAATCTAATGAAATTTATACGAAAAAACATTATATATTACGCTTTTTATTAAGTGGCTGCTAAAAAATAGGTCAGTTAATTTCAGTAATTTAGAGGATGATGGAAGAAAAAAAACTTCCTCCCCTCGAATTTAAGACGTAGAATTCGAAGCTAAGGGCCAGCCATGCAAGTCAGTTAGACAGCGTCGTGCTCTCGTTTATTGCGGATGCTTTTCAACTTGATAATTTAAGACGGCACTGTTTGTCACGCCCAGACTCACAAGCCCTAAACTTGCCCAAATGACACGGCCTAATTATCCATAAAGATGGCGCAGGCTGGCGCCGCAGCTCGCACGTAGGTCGAGAGATTCAAGTGCTACCTCTGAACTCTAAGCCAGCTGAGCTGTAAACTGTCAGAAACGTTATGTATCAAACTATATAGCTTGTTTTTAAGCTATGCAATTAATATTATGACTATCATATAAAATGTGAAAATATCATGATATCCAGAAAAATAAAACAATATAT